AAATACATTAGAATTTACAAAAGGAATTTCACTACTTATTGCCTACTTTGCGTACTTTTCTAGTACCATTTTCGCAACAAGGGATTGCATTCTTGCACTTTCTCTGTCCTTCGTAAATGCAACCTCAGAGAACGTATAGTTTAGCCCAATTTTTAAATTCACTGCCACTGCCTTCATCGCAGCAAACTTCGCATGCTGAATTTGACCCATGATTAAATAATACAAGGTTAGATAATTATTGACAGCTGCGGTTTGACACTCCCTTACAAAAGGTTGCATTTACGAAGGACAGAGAAAGGGCAAGAATGCGATCCCTTATTTCGGAAATGGTAGTAGAAAAGTACGCAAAGTAGCCAATTAGTAGTGAAATTCCTTTCGTAAATTCTAATATATTTGCAGGAAATCTGGCATTTTAAACGAAATGTTGAACGTAATATTGATATATCTACGTGAATTACGTAATTTATATGCTATTTAGCCGTATAAAAACTGCAAAATGACTCAAAATTAAAATAAGACTACTATGAGATTGATGTAAACATCCAATGCTTATGTTTTCATCAGTTAAATATGCTTCATATGCATATACAAATAAACATATTGCACAAAAGCTTATACTTTTATTTAACACCAAAGCTACACTGTTTCGATGTAAATTTGCAAAGAAGCAACACGGTCCCACTGCTAAGGGAGCGGTGCGAGAGGGACAACTGTCAGTTTATCGAACCTTGTATTAGGTGCGTTCGTTTAAAATCTCCAACAGAAACCAACCAACTGCCAAATTCCGGCGAAATGTCATCTGTTCGCTCACAAGAGAGAAATATCCAAAATAGTACGCGAACAGAAAATTTGCAGAAACTTGCAAGTTAGACGAACAGCTGATATAATTTTTGTTTACATACAAAAGTGTAAAATTTAAAACGTACGAAAAGTCATCGCAAAGTGTTATACTGACACAGTTTATTGATTAAACAAATAACTACTTATTTCTTACAAGTTTAATTTGTCGCATTTTGTAATTTTTATCTTCCAAACCATCAAATTAAATTTTGTGATTTGCGTAAGTGCCAACCAGCTGTTTTTGATCAGCTGCTTCCCTGTTGGCAAATTGCTGTTGGCAAAAATTTTTCCAACAGAAACTAACAGCTTCCCCTCAAAATGAAATGTCACTTTGCTCTCTCAATTTCCCCTACTTTGCAAGTTTTTTGCGTACGCGAACGCAAAAACCTGTAAGTTTTGGTTAAACATGAACAATTAACAGCTACGCGAACGAACCTATTATTGAATCATGGGCAGTGACTGCCAATATTAGCAGTAACAGCTGATTTTAAAAACTGTCACTGCCACTGCCACTGCGCTATCAAGGCGCATCAATTACAGGTGATAGCGATAGAAGCTATGCTTCTTCTTATGAGCACGCTTGTGTCAAATTATCGTCCGTTTTGCTTTATTTACTTATCCACTTATACATACATATATACAAATTCTCCCGAAATCTTTAAGAGTGTCGGAAATCTGTTACGATTCTTTTAGAAATCTGTAAAGAAAAACATATGAAGCAGTTGACAAGAACTAGTAAAGAAATTTCTGTACCATTTCTTAAAGAAAATTCTTAAAAAATTGTGAAACCTTTCAGAATTCTATGAAATCCTGGTATGCAGGGTATACATATACATACGAATATGAATAGATAAAGAAGATGTTGATGACACAAGGAGTTCATACCAACGGTAAATGTTATTTTTGTACGATTGCTACAACCTGTAGTTGTTGAATCATGCTGCGCTATTGTATTTTGGGCTTTTAGCATCAAACAGTTATCACGGTGGCACAGAGAAGAAACCTAAGTTCTCCTTTGGATGTGAGAATCACAAGCACAACAAATTTGCCGGCAAGTAATTTGAATATTTCTGTGTGAACGGGGTGATCAAACACGAGCTTTGATTGAGATATTTATATGTAAACATACTTTTATCAATCATAACAAAAATATCGAGCTATCAAGGAGATACATTTCGATGAAAAAAATATTCGTCGATACTTTGTCTATCAGAAATTTTTAAATTTATGTTTTTCAAAATTTAGAAGAAATTATTTTGAATAAACTATTGGATCGTTTATATAAATCAAAAACTAGAACATCCGTTATGGCATGCAACGAAGGAAAAACATTTAAAAATAAAGCTCCCGAATGCGAGAAACTAGACTGCTGGTGTTTTCCAGAGCCATATATCGAGCGGAAAGTTAAGGTACGAAATAAGAAGCATTGTTGGCTGTACCCTGAGCGTGAGACGAAAGAACTGGTAAAGTTAATACCGAATTTTGAGCACTGCAAAACTTTGTATACGAAGTGCGATTATAGACTTGAAAATTATGTTTCGAAACAATTGCTATTAATTGAGGACCTAATTCACAAGCACAAAAATAAATTAGATAACGAAATAGTCTTTCAGCGCAGCCTCATAGAACAAATGTGGAAGCTATCGCAAAGATTTTTGCTATTAACTCAGTAAGTTCTCCAATTGCTAGTTTTTTCAACTACTTACAAGCATGTTTTTATCATGCTTACAAGTCTGTTCTGCGCTGGTAATAAAAATTTTGTAACCGGTAAATAAAGTTCCTCTCAAATTTTAAACCTCTTCGCATTTTGTGTACTCTTGTAATCGGTAAATTTTGTTACCATCTCATAAGCTGGTAACAAAGTATTGCCCCGTGAAATATGCAATGCCGTAATTTCCACAATTCTTCATAGCTGAATTGCTGAATATTTTAACTGGA